TGCGAACAAGCAAGTACTCAGAGATTTTGTCACCACCAGACCTCCTTTACAACAGCACCTGAAAGAGGCACTACACATAGAAAGAAACAACCAGTACCAGCCACTCAAAAACATACCAAATGGTAAAAAGCATCAACAAAATGAAGAATCTGGATCAACTAACAGCTAAAACACCCAGCTAACATCAAAATGGCAGGATCAAATTCACACAGAATAATATTAACCCTAAATGTAAATGGGCTCAATGCAACAATCAAAAGACATAGATTGGCAAATTGGATAAAAAGCCAAAACCCATCAGTGTGCTGTATCCAGGAAACCCATCTCACATGCAAGAATACACAAAGGCTCAAAATAAAGGGATGGAGGAAGATTTACCAAGCAAATGCAGAGCAAAAAAAAGCAGGAGTTGCAATTCTCATCTCTGATAAAATAGACTTTAAAGAAACAAAGATCAAAGGAGACAAAGAAGGACATTACATAATGGTAAAAGGATTGATACAACAAGAAGAGCTAATGATTTTAAATATATACGGTCCCAATACAGGAGCACCCAGATACATAAGGCAAGTTCTTAATGACTTACAAAGAGACTTAGACTCCCACACAATAATAGTGGGAGATTTTAACACTCCACTGTCAATATTAGACAGATCAACCAGAGAGAAAATTAACAAAGATATCCAAGACTTGAACTCAGACCTGGAACAAGCAAACCTGATAGACATTTACAGAACTCTCCACCCCAAATTCATAGAATATACATTCTTCTCAGCACCAAATCACACCTACTCTAAAATTTACCACATAATTGGACGTTAGTAACTCCTCAGCAAATGCAAAAAAATGGAAATCATAACAGTCTCTGAGAACACCGTGCAATCAAATTAGAACTCAGAATTCAGAAACTAACTCAGAACCACACAGCTTCATGAAAACTGAACAACGGGCTATTGAATGTTGACTGGATAAACAATAAAATGAAGGCAGAAATGAAGTTCTTCAAAATCAACAGGAATGAAGACAAAACATACAAGAATCTCTGGGACACATTAAAAGCAGTCTCTAGAGGAAAAGATATAGCATTAAGTACCAACATGAGAAGAAAGGAGAGATCCAAAATTGACAACCTATCCTCAAAATTTAGAGAGCTAGAGGAAAAAGATCAACAAAACTCAAAACCTAGCAGAAGACAAGAAATAACTAAGATCAGCGCAGAACTGAAGAAGATAGAGACACAAAAACCCTTCAAAAAATCAATAAATCCAGAAGCCGGTTTTTTGAAAAGATCAACAAAATAGACCACTAGCCAGATTAATAAAAAAAAAAGAGAGAATAATCAAACAGATGCAATAAAAAACGATAAAGGGGAAATCACCACAGATCCCACAGAAACTCAAACCATCATCAGAGAATATTACAAACAACTCTATGCACATAAACTAACAAACCTGGAAGAAGTGGATAAATTTCTGGACACTTGCATACTCCCAAGCCTAAACCAGAAAAAGTCAAAACCATGAATAGACCAATAACAAGATCTGAAGTTGAGGCAGCAATTAAGAGCCTACCACAAAAAAAAAAAAAAAAAGCCCAGGTCCAGATGGGTTCACAGCCAACTTCTATTAGACACACAAAGACAAACTGGGACCATTTTTTCTGAAACTATTCCAAATAATCCAAAAAAAAAAGAGAATCCTTTCCAAATCATTTTATGAGACCAATATCATCCTGATACCAAAACCCGGCAGAGACTCAACAAGAAAACAAAACTTTAGGCTGATATCCATGATGATCGTAGACTCAAAAATCTTCAATAAAGCACTGGCAAGCTGATTGCAACAGCACATCACAAAGTTAATCCACCATGATCAAGTAGGATTCATCCCGGGGACACAAGGCTGGTTCAATATACACAAGTCTATAAACGTAATTCACCACATAAACAGAACCAAAGACAAAAACTACATGATTACCTCAATTGATGCAGAGAAGGCCTTTGACAAAATTCAACAGCCCTTTATGCTAAAAACCCTCAATAACTCCGTATTGACAAAACGTATCTCAAAATAATAAAAGCTATTTATGACAAACCAACAGCCAATATTATACTGAATGGGCAAAAACTGAAAGCATATCCTTTGAAATCTGGCACTAGACAAGGATGCCCTCTCTCACCACTCCTATTCAGTATAGTACTGGAAGTTCTAGCCAGATCAGTCAGGCAAGAAAAGGAATAAAGGGTATTCAAATAGGAAAGGAGGAAGCCAAATTGTCTCTATTTGCAGACGACATAATAGTATATCTAGAAGACCCCATTTTCTCAGCCCAAAATTTCCTGAAACTGATAAGCAACTTCAGCAAAGTCTCAGAATACAAAATCAATGTGCAGAAATCACAAGCATTCCTATATACCAGTAACAGACTTAAAGAGAGCCAAATCAAGAACGAACTGCCATTCAAAATTGCTACAAAGTGAGTAAAATACCTAGGAATACAGCTAACAAGGATGGTAAAGAACCTCTTCGAGGAGAACTACATAAGACCTAACACCATAAAAACCCTAGAAGAAAATCTAGTCAAAACCATTCAGGACATAGGCGTAGGCAAGGACTTCATGAACAAAACACCAAAAGCATTGGCAACAAAAGCCAAAATAGACAAATGGGACCTAATCAAACTCCACAGCTTCTGCACTCATTAGAGTGAATCAGCAACCAACAGAATGGGAAAAATTTTGCAGTTTACCCATTTGACAAAGGGCTGATATCAAGAATTTACAAAGAACTCAAACAGATTTACAAGAACAAAACAAACAAACCCATTCAAAAGGGGGCAAAGGGGGGCAAAGGATATGAACAGACACTTTACAAAAGAAGACATATGCGAGGCCAATAAACATATGAAACAATGCTCATCATCACTGGTCATTAGAGAAATGCAAATCAGAACTACATTGAGATAACATCTCATGCCAGTTAGAATGGCGATCATTAAAAAATCTGGAAACAACAGATGCTGGAGAGTATGTGTAGAAATAGGACCAGTTTTACACTGCTGGTGGGAGTGTAAATTAGTTCAACCATTGTGGAAGACAGTGTGGTAATTCCTCAAGGCCTTAGAAATAGAAATTCCATTTGACCCAGCAATCCCATTACTGGGTATATATTTAAAGGACTATAAATCGTTCTGCTATAAGGACACATGCACACGAATGTTCATTGCAGCACTGTTTAGAATAGCAAAGACCTGGAATTAGCCCAAATGCCCATCGATGATAGACTGGACAGGGAAAATGTGGCACATATACACCATGGAATATTATGTAGCCATCAAAAAAAATGAGTTTGTGTCCTTTGTAGGGACATGGATGAACCTGGAGAGCATCATTATCAGCAAACTGACACAAGAACAGAGAATGAAATACCACATGTTCTCACTCATAGGTGGGTGTTGAACAATGAGAACACCTGGACACAGGGAGGAGGAGAGCACTACACACTGGGTTCTGTTGGGGGGAATGGGGAAGGACAGCTGGGAGTGGGGAGTTGGGGAGAGATAGCATGGGGAGAAATGCCAGATACAGGTGAAGGCAGAAAATCACACTGCCACATGTGTACCTATGCAACTATCTTACATGTTCTTCACATGTACCCCAAAACCTAAAATGCAATTAAAAATGACGTTAAATTTAAACAATTAATTGGCATATACACATATACATATACTTATATGTACATAATACATACACCTATTTTAAGACTGGTCTTTTTAAAATCAAAACTACCTTAATCTTACATCTTACTTAAAAAAAAAATCAAGAGTAGGACCACTAAGGGTAATGAGAAATTTATGATCAGAAGTCTTACCTGGATTGTCTTTTCCAAGTATCTTCTTTTCATGTTTCATAATTTGGTTTTGAATTCTATGTATACAAAAGTAACAAATAAAGTTGCTATTTTAATACTGAAATAAAAAATATTAATCAAACATATTAAATACTTAAACTATTTCAGGGAATATCAGAGCTAATATCACAATTTTAATGTCCCATAGGCTTCAAATTTTTAATCCTTGCAAATTTATTAAGCTTCTTATTAAAGAAGAAAAAAGTGAAGTACTCATAATTGGAGAAAGCATAGCTCAGTAAATTAACTGTAGTCTGCTGGACTTCATGTAAAGTGTCCTCCACTCAGAATAAGTCTTTGCTCTGTAACCAATAGGTATTTTGTTTTCAGACAAGTTGCTTGGGTTCCATGGTTTCTTCTAAAAAATAAGGATTTGGCTACCTTACTACTCTAGGCTGTTAAGAAGATGTAATAAGATTACATGCTCAGAGATATAGTAAAACATTGGAATAATTTTTTCTTGAACTTGTTACTGAAACTGTTTTGGAATCCCAAATAAAGTTTGATGTGTGTTTTTCCATAGGTTCTAATATTCAAATGTTGCAGTAGTCAGAAAATGTTATTAAGTGCTAATTTCAGTTATTAGTTGTACTCATTGTGGCTTAGATTCAGGGCATTTTAGCTAACTCATAACTTATAACTAAAATATATATACACATAGATTACCTAATTGTCCCCTACCACTGAGCTCATCAATCACACCAAGGGCAGAAAACTAATAGATGTGAAAACCTGGCTTGGATAACTACTACACCTCCTCTACCTCCTCAAACTCTGAGCCAGCAGATCTGTGCTAGGATGCTGGATCTCCATGGTTCTCTCCAACTAACATACAAGACAAAACCCTGCTTTTATTGTTTTTCAGTTCCATGAAGGAAATGTAAGTTGACATTTTCTCATTCCCAATACATGTACTAACGACATGTAACATCCCATTATTAATTGGCTCTGTTCTCATTTTATATATCATTGTACATCAATAGTTTAATAGTGATAATCACAATTGCAATATTGGGTGTATCCTGTTTTTGTTTGACTCACACCGCTTCCTTGGAGCTAGTCAACAAATAGTCAAATGACCTTCAGAGACTGCAAAATGTGGAATGCTTCATGAATTTGTGTGCCATCCCTGAGCAGCAGCCATGCTCATCTTCTCTGTATTGATCCAATTTTAAAATATGTGCTGCTGAAACAAGTACAAAGCCCTGTTTGATACATGGATACTCATGAGTCATGGATGAGGCTTAGCTCTGTTAAATCCAACTCAATTACTTTAGATTCAGATAATTTTATTAAATGGCTTCCTGTGAGGTAGAATTTTTAAATATATTTAAAACTTGAGAATGAGATGCAAGTATCCTGAAAAAATTTCATTATTATAGAGACATATTACTTGTGGGGCCAACTGCTAGTTGGTTTTCATTACTCTGTGGAAAGATAACATGGAACCTTCTGCTATCTGACCAAAGCTGCTGCACAGAATGTGAAAAAGCCTCAAGGTACAAATATGATAGCAAAAGGGACAGGAAACTCTGTTCTCTTCCTGAAACATTATTTAAACCTTCCTGACTGTTGAGAACAATCTCAAATCATATTCATTACAGAATAGACAAAGACATATTTCAAAGGATAACTCATTATGAAGGTCTAGGCTGAGTCTAGCAAAGAGGTGGGCTCTAAATGAGATTTTCAGGGAAGGTTTTCAGGGAAGATTGCCTTCCCTGGAATTAAGAAACCTCTTAGCTTCTTGTAAAATTCAAAGAACAAAGACACAGGAGAATCAATTTGCTCCATATTTGTGTAGGGAAATCTAGGAGGTTTACCTGCCAGAGTAGGGTGCTGGGGACAAAGACTGATCATAAGCACATAAACTAATAAACACCATAGCTTTGAACACTATGTATGAATCACCATGAAAACTGAGGGGTCTGAATCAGTGCAGGCATTCTGGTGACAAAGGTCAATCATTATCAGATTGCAGGACCAGTTACAATGGCAACAATACAGCAAGTAAATTCATGGAAACAACAGCTTGATTACAATGGCTTTTGTTCCCCTTCTGACTTGTAAAGAAAGATCGCCTTCCCTGGACTTAAGAAACCCCGTAGCTTCTTGTAAAATTCAAAGAACAAAGACACAGGAGATAGCCCCAGGGAATACAAGATTATCTGCTAAACTGGACATTTCAAGACCCAATAAGTAATTAGAAAAGTCAGGCCAGGCATGGTGGCTAGCACTTTGAGAGGACAAGGCAGGAGAATTACTTGAGCTCAGGAGTTCAATACCAGCCTGGGCAACATAATGAGACCATGTGTCTATGAAAGATAGAAAGAAAGAAAGAAAGAAAGAAAGAAAGAAAGAAAGAAAGAAAGAAAGAAAGAAAGAAAGAAAGGGAAGAAAAGAAGTCAAAGATGTGGCTCTATTTTTATCAGATGCATGGGAATTATACTTACAATAAAATGAACAACACTGATATCCCTAGGGATAAAGGCCTTAAAAGTCCTGAGAAAATCTTGTACTCTACTTCTAACTGATCTAGGCTTCTGCTTGATTTCTGGCTAAAAGGTAGGCTAACTCATTATTGCTATTTCAAACTGCCTGAGCCAAACTACGAACTCTTACCTAATGTATAAGGTAAAATAATTGCAATTATTTTCAACATCAATTTAGTATTAACTGGCCTTTTAATATAAACACTTACTTTGTCAAACCACAAGAAACAGCATAATTTCCTGCATCTCATCCACACATATCTTGAGAAAAGATATTAATATTTTGCTGAAGAAGGAGGTTGACCATATCTGGTAAGTGACAATGTACAGCCAGCATGAGGGCTAATCTAAAATAACAAAAAATCTCAAGAACTTTAGCAAAAGCATTTTAAACAGCTAGTTTGATGCGCTTTACCAATATAATATCATGCTTGTCAGTGTAGCTGTAATAATCATTTACATGGACTAGCTTATATCAATAAACATCTTGGGTGCTCAAGTGTAAATTATCACCAAGGCTAAAAGAGACAAGAAGGTCTCTTGTCCCACTGGAGTATGACAATATAAGTTGCTAACTTATAGTCCTTTGATGGCCAAGAAACTGTGCTGAAGTCCCTTATCTAAAGTAGGCAAAGATTTAGATAAAGATTTCCCCATTGCTTTTCTAGTCTAATATATTGTAATTAAAATCAGCTGGGGACCAGAGAAGAGCTATCTGCAGGTTGAAAAACAACAAAAATAACAACAGCAATAATAATAATCATGGCAATACTAGTAGTCAGAAGCTAAAAGTCCACATTTTAAAACTTGATAAACATGGCCAAGTGCAGTGGCTCCTGCCTGTAATCCCAGCACTTTGAGAAGCAGCAGATCATGAGGTCAAGAGATCAAGACCATTCTGGCCAATATGGTGAAACCTTGTCTCCACTCAAAATACAAAAGATAGCTAGACCTGGTTTCCCATGCCTGTAACCCCAGCTACTCGAAAGGTTGAGGCAGGAGAATTACTTGAGCCTTGAAGGCAGAGGTTGCAGTGAGCCAAAACTGTGCCACTGCACTCCAGCCTGGTGACAGAGTGAGACTGCATCTCAAAAAAAAAAAAGAAAGAAATAAATTAATAAAATGCATACAAAACCCTTTAGCTAATATAAGATCACAGGACCCAACACATCAGATTATAAATAAGAAACACTGTATATTATAAGAGAAGATGAATTCTACTATATAATGTTCTTTATATTGCTTAGTCCAAATATTTGCTTTTCTACCTGATTATTTATATTATTTTTTATTATATTCCAATAATTATGTTAATCTTCTTATTAATATTTCTTTTTTTTTAATTTTTTATTGGATTTTAGGTTTTGGGATACATGAGCAGAGCATGCAAGACAGTTGCGTAGGTACACACATGGCAGTGTGCTTTGCTTTTCTTCTCCCCTTCACCCACATTTGGCATTTCTCCCCAGGCTATCCCTCCCCACCTCCCCCTCCCACTGGCCCTCCACTCTTCCCCCCAATAGACCCCAGTGTTTAGTACTCCCCTTTCTGTGTCCATGTGTTCTCATTTTTCTTCACCCGCCTATGAGTGAGAATATGCGGTGTTTCATTTTCTGTTCTTGTGTCAGTTTGCTGAGGATGATGTTCTCCAGATTCATCCATGTCCCTACAAACGACACAAACTCATCATTTCTGATTGCTGCATAATATTCCATGGTGTATATGTGCCACATTTTTCCAATCCAGTCTGTCATCAGTGGGCATTTGGGTTGATTCCATGTCTTTGCTATTGTAAACAGTGCTGCAATGAACATTCGTGTACATGTGTCCTTATAATAGAACACATATGATTGTTGGCCTCATATATGTCTTCTTTCGTAAAGTACCTGTTCATATCCTTTGCCCACTTTTGAGTGGGCTTGTTTGTTTTTTTCCTGTAAATCTGTTTGAGTTCTCTGTAAATTCTGGATATCAGCCCTTTGTCAGATGGGTAGACTGCAAAAATTTTTTCCCATTCTGTTGGTTGCCGATCCACTCTAGTGACTGTTTCTTTTGCCGTGCAGAAGCTGTGGAGTTTCATTAGGTCCCATTTGTCTATTTTGGCTTTTGTTGCCAATGCTTTTGGTGTTTTTTTCATGAAGTCCTTGCCTACTCTATGTTCTGGACAGTTTTGCCTAGATTTTCTTCTAGGGTTTTTATGGTGCCAGGTCTTATGTTTAAGTCTTTAATCCATCTGGAGTTAATTTTAGTGTAAGGTGTCAGGAAGGGGTCCAGTTTCTGCTTTCTGCACATGGCTAGCCAGTTTTCCCAACACCATTTGTTAAACATGGAATCCTTTCCCCATTGCTTGTTTTTGTCAGGTTTATCAAAGATTGTATAGTTGTATGTATGTTGTGTTGCCTCCGGTGCCTCTGTTTTGTTCCATTGGTCTATATCTCTGTTTTGGTACCAGTACCATGCTGTTTTGATTACTGTAGCCTTGTAGTATAGTTTGAAATCCGGTAGTGTGATGCCCCCCGCTGTGTTCTTTTTGCTTAGAATTGACTTGGCTATGCGGGCTCTCTTTTGGTTGCATATGAAGTTCATGGTGGTTTTTTCCAGTTCTGTGAAGAAAGTCAATGGTAGCTTGATGGGGATAGCGTTGATTCTGTAAATTACTTTGGGCAGTATACCAATTTTCACGATATTAATTCTTCCTAACCATGAACATGGAATGTTTCTCCATCTGTTTGTGTCCTCTCTGATTTCATTGAGCAGTGGTTTGTAGTTCTCCTTGAAGAGGTCTCCTTGTGAGTTGTATTCCAAGGTATTTTATTCTTTTTGTAGCAATTGTGAATGGCAGTTTGCTCTTGATTTGGCTTTCTTTACATCTGTTATTGGTGTAGATGAATGCTTGTGATTTTTGCACATTGATTTTATATCCTGAGACTTTGCTGAAGTTGCTTATCAGTTTCAGGAGTTTCTGGGCTGAGGCAATGGGGTCTTCTAGGTATACTATCATGTCGTCTGCAAATAGAGACAATTTGGCTTCCACCTTTCCTATTTGAATACCCTTTATTTCTTTTTCTTGCCTGATTGCTCTGGCTAGAACTTCGACTACTGTACTGAATAGGAGTGGTGAAAGAGGGCATGCTTTTCTAGTGCCAGATTTCAAAGGGAATGCTTCCAGTTTTTGTCCATTCAGTATAATATTGGCTGTTGGTTTGTCATAAATAGCTTTTATTACTTTGAGATACATTCCATCGATACCGAGTTTATTGAGGGTTTTTAGCATAAAGGGCTGTTGAATTTTGTCAAATGCCTTCTCTGCATCAATTGAGATAATCATGTGGTTTTTGTTTTTGGTTCTGTTTATGTGGTGAATTACGTTGATAGACTTGCGTATGTTGAACCAGCCTTGCATCCCCGGGATGAATCCTACTTGATCATGATGAATAAGCTTTTAGATTTGCTGTTGCAATCGGCTTGCCAATATTTTATTGAAGTTTTTTGCATCTATGTTCATCATGGATATTGGCCTGAAGTTTTCTTTTCTCTTTGGGTCTCTGCCGGGTTTTGGTATCAGAATGATGTTGGTCTCATAGAATGATTTGGGAAGGATTCCCTCTTTTTGTATTGTTTGAAATAGTTTTAGAAGGAATGGTACCAGCTCCTCCTTGTGTGTCTGGTAGAGTTCGGCTGTGAACCCGTCTGGACCTGGGCTTTTT